CATTACTTTTAGATACTTTTGACCAAATATATTCAATATGTGGTTTACGTGTAATATTTTCGTCGAGTACCACTCCTAAAAAATTAGTAACAAAATCTTATTTATTTAGACTTCATCAATAATTATTTTGGGCTAATTTTCAGGTAAATAACGTTTTATAGAGAGCGAATAGAAAAGAATCCACTTGATTTTATTAATGTTTGGAGTTAATTTGTTACATTTGAATCAAGTAGATATATTTTTAAGTTCATCATTCATTGAAGAAAAGAATATGTCATTATTATAAAAAAATAACATAGCATGTCAGTGGACTCAGTTATGTTTTCTTTAATTGTATAAAACTGTTTTTTCTTCGTTATCTTTTCTTCATTTTTTTTCTTCTTTTCTTGATTGATTTAACATTTAACATTTAATTTGTTTTTATTTTAATTATCGCAAGACAAAAATTGCCTCAATCAAATATTTACGTTTGTTTGATGCCATAATTCACCTTTCTTTGATGATAATTCACCTTTGTTTGGTGAATTATTTTTTGACAATATACAAAGTTTTATTTTTGGTCCCAAAATCAAAACCTAGTGGAACACCACAGGAAATGCTTAGAATATATTTTTAATTATAGTTGTTATTAAAAAAAATTGTTTGCGGTTTGTAATATCTTAGCTATTTTATAGCTATATAGTTTATTCCGTAGTTTTTCGATTTCATGATCGACAGTAACGAAAACCTTTGACAAGTCAATAAAAACGTTTAATTTAAATTTGAATCTTTGAAAGGAATTTGAGATTTCTCGTTCAAATTTTATGATGAGGAATTTCTTTTTTTTTTTAAATTAGTTATTATATTAAAGATTATTGTAAACAAGATAATTGTATTTATTTATCTATTGTACATAATACGCTCTAACATTTTTGAAAAAGTAGAAAGAATAGATGTAGGGCGATATTTACTAATATTGTAAGTCTCCTTTCATTCAAAATCGGAATAAATTTTGCAATATTTAGTTGTGCAGGAAAAACGTTTAGGAAAATATTTTTTTATTCTCGTAACTCCAAACTTAATAGCGGTTGTTTGCAGCCATTTTGGGAGTGAATAAGTATAAAGAACAAAAAAAATAAAATTTGGTCTCTGAGATGCTAAATTATTACTAGTCCTAAACAACTAAAAAAAATAGTCTATTCTTGCTTTTAGAACCGCAATCTAACTTTTTGATTTAAATATGAGATTGAGTCTTATCGCCAAGCTACGAGTTCTGTAGGCAATCTGACAAAAATGAACTAAACGTTGTGGTCACAATCCGAACGTAACCAAAAGCATGTTGAACTTTAAGATATTTTGAAGTTAAGTTAACTAGGCCGCGTGCTTTTATTACTGGCTTAATATTCGTTATAGAAACTTTTCCGTAACGGCTACACCATTAATAAAAATGTGGTATTCTTATTGGCGTTTCAGTAATAATAACAGTAAATTTCACGGAATCGAAATTTTACTCTAGACACGTGTTTTTATACAAAATATATCTTACAAATTTTTCGTCAACTATTGAATCTGAAAAAAATCAGTTTGAATTTATTATGAAATTATTAAGAACATAAAGAAAAAATTAAAAAAAAAAAAATGTAAATAATTATTATATATATTTTATTTCTATATTTTACTTTAGAAGTCTTATTATAGTATAGCTATTTTTAACTTGCTATATAAAATGATTATTTATTTTTTTGTTGAAAAAACTTGTAAAGCTAATCTTTTAAATTTCTTTACTTTATTTGTTTAATTTAGCAAATTTTATTTTATTATTGTTATTTTAACTTGCTTTATATAGTAAATATAATTTATTATATTTTATATATTAAGGATACTTTGTAAAAAATATATCACGCATTGTAGGGGCTTGACGACAAGACTTATGTCTTCTACTTGCTTCTGTCATTCTTTATATTTTGACTTATTTTATTAAACTTGGAAACGAGAACATTGTAAAATGCTTATTTATGACGAAATAAAAAAATAAAAAATAAATGAATAAAAAAATAGCTTTTTTTTTAAAGCTGTTTAATTTTTATATTTTAATATTATTATCAGTAGAAAAGATTGAATTTAGTATAAACGTACCGTGAGAGGGTGGGAGAAAAGGGGGCGTCGGGTGCGATTGAACCTCCTTTTTTTATAAGATTCTCTTGTTTCATGCAAGTTTACTTATAAAAATTGAGCAAAATTTTTATTTGTTATTCTAAACTGCCTTTTTTTATTTTCCAAAAAAGCGCCCTCTTTAAAATTTTTTTCATTGATACCTTTGTACTTATACTCTATAAAACATCAAATTAAATTCCTTTTTAAAAGTTGAATGTTAAACATCCTTCTTTTCACATTAAATTATAGGCTAACACGTTGAAACATTTTTCACATTTTTGAACTATGTGTAAGCTGTTTGTTAGATCAGGTTATCCTGCTACCGGTAACATGTAACTCAGTGCAACCTGCTTCATGTCCTGCTGTAGAAAACGCTTTTTTAGGCAAGGGCTAGAAGAGTTTTTTATCAAATTTAAAAATGACTGAAGTACCAAAATCTATAAAAACATTGTCATCACCAAGTTCTTTAAATCTATCATTCACTAATATTTGTGGTATTTAAAGTAACTTTGTTTTCTTGAGTTTTATCTCTTGCAAAGTTCACTAGACCTTTTTGCTCTTTGTGAGAATAATTTGAGTTTAGCTGTCTCATCTTGTGATCTTAGTGTTGATGGTTATTTTTCTTTAACTCGTAAAAACTCTAATAGTCACATGCTTGGCCTGGAGATTTACATTTGCAAGAATTCACCCATTTGTCGGGAAACTAGGTTTGAATCCACAGACTATTCTTTTATATGCTTTCATTTTCACCAGTTCACTCTATTCCCTCTCTCTTTATTCTATATCGCTCTCCTTCGTCTCAAGACCGTATTATTTCCGATGTTATTTCTGATCAAATTGATCAAGCTCTCTCTCTTTATCCATCAGCCAACATTGCTGTTGTTGGTGACTTTATTGCTTATCACACTGAATGGCTTGGCTCTAGTGTCAGTGACTCTGCAGGCGCTAAAGTCCACAACTTTTGCCTTTTTTAATTGCTATCATAAATAGTCAACTTTCCAAATCTCTTTCCAGACGATCCGAATTATTTACCGTTTCTACTTTACTTATATCTTGTTTCTGATCCTAGTAAGTGCTCAGTTTCTACACATTCACCCCTAGATGCTTCTGATTATCTCATTCTTCTTCATCATCAGAATCCTCTTATCATTTTTTAAAACTACCTTAAAACTGATTGGCTGGGACACTTTTTTTTTGTGATGGTCCTTAAGTACAAATTTTTTGTCTTCCTGTTGAAAAATGTATTTTTTAAGTAACTTCTTGAATTCAGGCTGAATAAAAGAATCTTTTCTTCCCTCGACGATTCCAAGTCAGGCGTAAATCTTCTCCATGGTTTTCCTTTCATTGTGCTGCTGCAATCTCCAATTGTAACCAATGCTTTCATATCTATCAGCAAAACAGTTCTCCAGAAAACAAAAATCTTTGGAATTCGCTTCTATTATATTGATTTATATAATTTGCAATCTTTTAAGTCATCTGTTAATCGTTTTCTTGCTCAATAAACTTCGTCTTTTCTTTTTCACTAACTTCCAACTCTAATAGTGGTTGCCTGCAGTCTTGTTGGAAGTAAAAATGGTTAATAATAAAAAAATCAATTAACTTTAACTCAATAATCCTACTATTCATTTTACCTTTTCTTTAAGGATTTTAGTAACGTTATAGTACTTTTTTTATTACTTATGCACCTTTTTTATCGCTTAAACGCTTTATTAGATTTTTATCAGTTATGTCGTTGAAAATTATAATTCAGTTTATTTTTTTTAGACGTATTATATAATATTTATAGACGCAACTAACTTAAATTAGTTTGGAGAATCGCCAGCATTAATTTTACGCGTTTTTCTGCTTGAGTAATGTATTTTTATTATAAAATATAAATTTTAAATTAGTTATTACATTTTTTTTTTTTTAAAATAAAATGTTTCATGATAATATCGAGTCGATATTATCATTAACTGAAATATTTAATAAAAAATCTATTATTGAAAATTATTCATCGAGTCGACAATATCGACAAGATGAATAATTTTTAATATTTGGTTTAATTTTTAGCTATCAAACCAAGTTGTTTGCTGATAAATTTTTTTGTTTTACAAATAGTTTTATACTTTTTACGCATTTATTTTTTTATTTTACGCATAGAATTACAATAATCTTGGTGGTATCTTTTGCGAGTATGCTTTTTCACAATAAATGTGCCGCTTGTATGGGTGCTTGTTTTTGATGATTAGATGTAACAAAAATAAATAAAAAATTATATTTCAAGTTTGGAATTAATTATATCTAAATTAATATATTCCTAAACAAAGCACTGAACTAACAAAAAAAAACGCATAAATTTTTTACTATACTGTGAAATTAGGATTTTCAAAGGAAAATACATACAGAAATTAAACTTTTTAAGTTTCCTCTCTTTCTTTAAACATTTACAATTTAATATTCTTTGACATTTACAATTCTATACTTCTTTGAAAATATTTATAAAATATTTTTATAGAAATGAAAGAAATAAATATAGAAGAATAAGAAATAATTTTTTTTTTTTTTTTTTTTTTTGTAGTGGATTTGTTTAAAAATCAAAATATTTTTTTGTATACGGTGCAAATATACGTGTTATAGGGATTTTCAATTCAAATATAATGATGGTCTACCAATCCAATATTTATCATCTTTTAATACTTTCATAAAAACTTTATTTCAAACTTAAAAAACTTGTAAACTTTTAATCCACTCTTATAGTATAACTCGTTTTATAAAAATAAATTACAACAGTTAACTAGATTTTTATATAACATTTTATTCCTCCCAAAACAAATTACTACATTATCAAAATATAAAAGTCTATAAAAATTAAAATTGTATCTTACCCAGACCTTGTGGTGCAATTCTAATTAATTTTAAACTTAAAATTAAAACGCAAGCTAGTATCATTTTATGCCATATTAACTGCTTTTAATAATTTATGCTGATTAATTAAACTTATTTCATTAAAGTTTTTTATTAGCAGCATTACTTTTCATTCTTTATAAAATTAAAATTAGCGTTTCCTTTTTTTACATAGCTTTTTAGACTGTTTGCGCTTGCACTTTTGCTGTTAGAAAACATACCGAAGGTGAAAGCTATGCCTGCATTAGAGAACTGACATAACATTCAGCTGCATCGAAATGAATGATAAATTATTTTTGTTGTGGCACCAAATATCAACAGCTTTTTTTTCTATATTGTAAACTAACTATAGTTGTTACCAGTCCATTTGTAGTTTAAATAGATTTGTAGTATAATTTTTAGTTTAAATGCATCGGTAACAACAATGCTTATTCACATTTTATCTTTGTTCAACGTGTTTCACATTTTTTGTTGTTTTTATCAGATTTTTTTTGTAAGAATTGTTCACCGTTTAAATTATTTTGCTCATAATTGAACCATTTGAAAAATTATCCAAAATAAAAATATTCTAAGCAAAGATAAAAAAATCGATTTAAGAAAAATAAGCGAAATTAGAACAGTCACTGATCTTTCTTGAGAGTTTCCAGAAAATGTCAATAGAAACCCAAACTTGTGTAGGGAGGGGGAAGAGTATTCTAGATTGCAAGTACGTGTGAAAGATTTTTTTTTTCTTTTTTTATTAATTAACCAAGAATTAATCTTTTTATCTTTTGACTTGTATGGGAAAAAAAAAAAGAATTGGTCATTTTGATTTTTCCAATATGTAACACTTCTTTTACAATACTTTTAAAACATTAAAACAGTTAATTTAATTAAAATATTTTATTAAAACTTTGGATCTATTATTTGGTAAAAAAAAAAACTTTTTTTTTTGCCAAATAATACATCTATAAATAAGTCCAATTAAATTAGTTACTAGTGACTGGATAACTAAACCTTTTAACTAATGTTCATAGAGGGAATTAAGGTGTTTAAAATTAGACCTTAAAAATTGATATTGTTTTAGTCTTAAGTGGTTAACAATTTAAAGAGTTTGAAAAAGGGTGCAAAAAAGTATATGCATTTTTTTTTTTTTTTTTAATTTTTTTTCTAATAAACTCAGACCTGGAAAGTTTAAACGCAATTAAAAGGTGACAATTGCCAAGTTGTGGCAAACTTGTGTGACTATTAATTTTTATTAGATGGATTGCCAGAATCGGGAAGTCGCAAATGTATTGCATAAAAGTTGCTATTTCGCGAGGTTAGAATTATATCCACTTTTTGAAAAATTTGAGTTATTAATTGTGTTATATACCTCAAAATAAAGATTTTCAACTGTATAAAAAATTAAGTTAAAATCAAAACATTGCGATAAAAACATAATAATAAAAATTTTTATTACGCGGTCTCATAAAGTTTTTATTGTTTAAATAATTAATCTCAAAACTCATAAAACATGGAGATTAACTGGATTATGAACATCTTTAAGTCAAAATCTAATAAAGCATGTGCTATAATTTTCCATTTTTGAGTGGCTATGACTGGCTTAGCCGCCAATGGTTTTTACAAACGTTGCTACTTAGGATATCAAGCCCTCTAAAAGAATACATCTGCCATTGTTATCACAATAAAAATATTAATTGTATTCATAAATTACAATTAAAATTGTATCCAAAAAAAAACAAATAAGTTAAAAACAAATTATGCTAAGATATTATTGAATCGGAATCGCTTTTCTATTGTTCTTTTTTTTGTTGCAACTTTTGCGGAAAACCAGTCTTGAGCCAATATAGAATTGATAATTTATTTTTTGATAATTGAAGTTTTGAAAGAAATTTAAGATTAAATTAAGATTGGAACTTAAAAAACTTAACCATGCGTGTCTATTCTATTTATCTTTTATTGGACATTTGATGTTTTTATTTTTTTGTGAGTAACTTTATGTTTACATTTTAAAGCAATGACCTAACCTTAAATGCGTTATGTCCCAAGTTTTCATCTACTCAATGCTACTGAGACAACGAACCAGGTTTTATTTAATGAAAGCTGTAAATATTTTTAGTATTTTGTTTAAAAGGTAAACTGAATTTAACATTTTTGGTACTGCTGGAGAAATGGAAACGTTGTTTTACCATTTTTTTTAGTGCAATATATAAGTTATAAGGAACAACCAATCGATTGTTATGTCCATAACTTATACAAATTTTAATTAACTAACATCATCTTAGTTTTTTTTAAAAGAGTTTTAATGTTCTTTGCTTTAGTAGAGTTGTTTAACTTGCAAAACAAATTTTGGGTATAAAATAGTATAAAATAAACAAAGCTAATAATATCAGAAAATTGTTTAATCATCTTATATCTACAGCATCTTTTTTGTCAAAAAATATTTTATATGCGTTGTTGGTATTTTATTACGACGTCAATGTTTATTTTGTATCTATTACTTTGAGAAAACTATCTATTACTTTGAGAGGGAAATTTCGAAACTAAACATAGTATTGTAAGACTGTAACTTTCCTTTAGCTAAAAGATTTTTTGTTGTTGTTGTTTAGGTGTTCAAAGAAGTCTTAAAGGTCTTATCACAAAGTAAAGCAGAGTTGCTATTAACTAGGATGTTCACGCTTTCTTTCTTACCATTGTTGCATATATGGCCGTATTTGAACCACGGACCTCCAGTTATAAATCCAGAACTCTAACCACTAGGGCACGACAAATGAGAAAATGTTTGTATAAATGAGAAGTGAATGTTTTAAAAATAGTTTAAAATATTTGTATAAATGAGATGTGAAATATTTTTAAATTTTTTTGGAATAACAATATTCTAGTTTTGTAAAGCACACTATTGTTGTTTGTTACATTAAAAGACTATAGACAGGGTGAATAAAAAAAAGCAATTTCTTTTACTCAATAATTGGTCAGTTTTACTTAAATAAAAACTTCAGCAGTTTTGCACAATTTTTTATTCACGCAAAGTTAAACAATTTACTCAGCAACTGCTCAGCTTTACGTGAATAAAAACTTAATCAAAATTTTTGAAATTTTCATTCACGTATAGATGACCAATTACTGAGTAAAAGCAGTTCCTTTTTTTATTCAAAAAGATCTTGTTTTCTGCTGGTTTGAATGAAACAAGATCTTGTTTTTTCTGTATTTTATTTAACGTTGATTAGGGCATCTTTAGCGAAAATTTGAATATTTTAAAAATAGTTATGCTGGATCCAAAATCTTATCGAAAAAATAACATCAATTAAGTAAAAAATTACCAGCCTGACAATAAGAACTAATTTTTGGAATATAATGATTTATTATTAACAAAAGTTATAATTAAAAGATCAAGTTTTGAACCACTCTTTGTTGAAAAATACTTCTATGTTTTCCGCAAAAAAAAAAAAAAAAAAATTAGTTCGTTATTTTTTCAATTTTATTAACTCAAACTTTTGAACAATAAAAATTCAGAATTTTTGAATTTAAATTTTTTATTATTAAAATAGTAAAAATTTTTCTATGTTTTGTTTTTATTCAAAAAGCAATTAAAACCACTGCTATTTTAGGACTTTAAACTAGGTAATTTTAATGAGTAATTTGAGCATGCTCATATTACACAACATGGCATCTTTTAATAAAACTAAATGTTTCTATGCACTGTTTTTCAAACAAATATGGATTGGATTTTTAGCTAACATATTTTTCTTTATGATAAAATTAATTTCATTATTTTAGCACCAAAATTTCGCACCACAGATTTACTTATGCGTGATGATATTATTTTAACAACGCAAAAAATTAGTATTTTAAATAGATGATAGTTGCTAATTACTGCATATAAATTTACGTTAATTCTACTAATTTCTCATAAAGTCGAATTAGAAAATGCCAAGCATTTAACTTAACTGCTTATATCTAAGAAATCTTTAAGTATGCTCATATTACCAAGATGCTCATATTACCTTAATCTACCCTACATTAAACCAGATAGTTAGTTTTCAATTCATTGTTCACAGGTTCATAGAGATCTTTGATTGATGTTAATTGTTAAAACAAATTTGTGTCATCAGCAAACATTATTGCATCGCGTTACTTTAGGGGTTGTGGAAGATTGTTAATATAATTTAAAAATAAAAGAAGACCAAGTAAAGAACCTTGAGTAGCTTCGCATTTTTTTTCTAGTAACTGAGAATTTTTATTATTGTTTGAAATAACACGTTGTTGTCTGTTGCACGGGTAAAATTTAAACCAATCAAGGGTTGCATTTTTTATTTCGTGTTTTTCTTTTAAACCAATCAAGGGCTACATTTTTTATTACGTGTTTTTCTTTTTTTCTATTATGATACCATGATCGTGTCAAACGCTTTTGATAGATCTATTAAAGCTGTCGGTACAAATTTTTGTTTACCATTTAAAAACCGATTTTTTAGTTAAGAATTTGTTTTGAATTAGATATTCATCTATTGCAGAATATTGGTTCAATTTTTTAGAAAAAGTATTGCAGTATTGAGATATTTATTAAAAATGCTTCACCGGTTTAAATTATCTGGTACAATTCCTGTTTTAATTGATGATTTGAAAATTTCGAAAATAGATTTGCGTATCTCCGAAAAGAAATTAACAACAAGGTTACTGCAAATGTCATCATCATCACAATGTTACAGCAAATGTCATCATCATCACAATGTTACTGCAAATGTCATCATCATCACAATGTTACTGCAAATGTCGTCATCATCACAATGTTACTGCAAATGTCGTCATCATCACTGCGTCATCACCAGCAGACTTATTTAGTTTTAGAGAGTTTATTGTATTTTCGAGTTTATTAGTTTTCAGTGCTTTAAGTTCTTTGTTGACATTAGTCAGATAAGTTTCATATGAGTTGTTTGGACTGTGGATTTTTGAAACTAAATGTGGGCCTATGTTAACAAAAAATGTTATACTTTTCTGAAATTGCATTATTGTTGTCTTTATCATTCTTCACTCTTTATCATTTATGACTATTTTAGCTGGTAAACTATTTGATTTGCAGTTTTTGATTCCAATCAATACTTTTGTATTTTTAATATCACCATTTGAGTTATTCAATTTAAGTAATAATTTTTCTTTAAATCTTTAAAAATTTTTTGTATTGTTTATAAATATTTAGGTTCGCCTC